ATAAATGATTTATTAACTGTTAATAAATATTTGTTAAGGACCTATCCTCTAATAAATCATTTATTAAATATTAACAAATCTTTTTAAATACAAAAAAATCCTTCTATCAGTGAACAAATCATACCTTTATTAGATATTAAATTGTTTTTTAAAGATAATAAATTTTGAACTAATTGTTTTTTTTTTTTTTTTGTACAAATGAAAGGTTCTCTCAAATAGAGTTAGACAATAGAACATCGATATACAACAGAATATGAAAATTAAAGCTTATTTGAAGAGCGTTCAAGAACATTTTACAGATATTCAATATAGTGTCGTATTCAAAAGTTATTTGACAAATAAACTGTAAAAAAAGTGTATTTTTATGATTTTTAAAGCTCATATTTGAATTTGAGCTTCGTTTTTGTCAGTAGAATAAATATACTGAATTTCGTAAAGATTGTAGACACCATCGTTGTGACAAGCCAAGAAAAATTCTTGAACCAAGTGAAATTTCCTTAAATCAAGTAAAATTTATTAGTTCAAGAATTTTTCTACTCAAACTAAGATTAAGTTCTTCAAAATTATATACTTGATTAAAGAATATTTGTTTTTCTGGGTATAGATGTATAAGTCTTTGAGCCATATGTATTTTCTGAATTAATTTGACCAACTGAGTGGAATTATAGCAAAATTTCTAAAAAATTACGTCTTGAGGATCAATGCGCAATAGTTATATTTCTATAAAATCTACTAAAAATAAAACTTGAGGAGTTAAATTTTTATTTGTTGGTGTTTTTCACGATTTATGTGACACATAAAAAGTTTAGTTTAGTGTCAAGATGGCTGCAATTTACAAGCGGAAACGTCTTTCAATTGGATTGATCCATTTGTGAAAATTCGTTTTACTGATTTCCTTTGCTGATTGCTATTGAACTTTTATTTAAAATTAAATCTCTTGAGAAAAATACAAATCATTACTTTAAAAGCGCTTTGATTATTCACTTCATTAATTTTTTTCATTAGTTTACTTCAAAAAAACTTTAAGTGCAATTTACTTGTAAAGAAAATTATTAGAAAATAAATGTTCACTTTTTCTTAGCGGGAAGTCAAAAATTGCACAGATAAAAATCGAGCTAATTGATAATTGTGGGAGGACTTGAGAAAAAGAATTAAATGAAATCGCTGATAGTGGTAAAAGAATATTGCATTACACAATGTATGCTTCACTTGCGAAGTAATTCAATTCGTTGTTAATATTAAGTTGGAAAGTGTATTACTTGCGTTCATAGGTATTATATGTAGTACGCGAATGAATTACTACCTCAATGAACTTGATCGAATGACTTGAAATTAAACTCTATCGATTGGTCTTACTCGAGTGTTACTCCTGTCTATTCACACCCGGTTGTAATCTAAACTAGACTCCATTTATATTAAATAGAGTTATATATGTTGTAATTAATTCCGGTCTTGGTAAACTCATTTGCTTTATTTTTAGCATTTTGTAATTTTTACTGAGAATTATTATCGATTGTAATTTAATGGTGGAATTTTTATTTTTTTACAGCAGGAATTTCTGCTGAAAAAGGATACTTTGGTCCTTGGAGACAGTGCAAACTTTTGCTTTATAATCGGGAAAGATGCGGTACGGGTGTATCCAGATTTCAACCAGTCAGTAAGTTTCAAAATATTTTTTTTATAATAATAATAATAATATTCTATTAATAAAAAAAACAAATTTTAATTTTAAATTATAAAATTTTTTGATAAAAATTATAAAAATAATTTTTTAATAAAAAATTTATTAAATAATAATAATTTTTAGTGGTAGTCTGGGTAGCTGGAATAGCAGCAGCAATATCATCTGGATTACTAGGACTATTGGTATTACTGGCAGTCCTCCAGCTAGCCATGGCCTCCTCAGCAAAGCGGATGGTAATCTCCTACAGCACAACCTTGATCGGAAAAGTTGCACTTGGCACACTGGCCAGTAAGTACCGCTTAAATTTCGCCTCATTAAAAGCAAATAAAGTATCCAAGATCTCTGATTCTAGGATAAATCATCTCTCCTCTCTACCACTGTTAATAAATAATTACATACTTTAACATTGTCAACTGTCGCGACCCATCATCAGCGAAGCTTGAAACTATTTTCAAATGCCGAGTCATTTGTTTTAATGCACAAAATACAATAATATAAGAAGCGATCATGAAAATCATTCCTCCGTACTAATTTTATTGCGTAGAAATCTCATCCCCGGAAATGATTAATGTTCAGATTGTGAAAAGCTGCTTTCAGATTAACAAGCTTGTCTTTTTTCTTTTTTTTTTGTGTAGATTAGTATTATTAAACCAGAAACTCTCAGGAAATATACTTAGGTATCATATTTCACGCGTTAGATAATTTTACATGTAAATTAATATTTAATATTTATTTATACAATAAAAAATTAAGCGATTTTGTTAAATTTTTATAAAATTTATTGGAGTCTTTAAAAAAATTTTAAAGTATACCAATAATCTTATAATAATTTATAATTTTTAAAATAATTTTAACTAGCAAAATTTTGCTTTATTAAATAATGATTTTTATTAAATTGCACTGTAATTTCTTAATTATTGACGTTCATAAAGATATAAGCTCATCCCGATATTACACTCATCAAGAGCTTTCATTTGAGTACCCACATGCATTTTTGATATATTTTTCATTTATACATATATATAATATATATTTCAAAGATATAAGCTCATTCTAATGTTACACTCATTAAGAGCTCTCATTTGAGTACCCACATGCATTTTTGATATATTTTTCATATGTACATATATATAATATATATAAATATATGAAAAATTGATGTGGGTACTCAAATGAAAGGCCTTGATGAGTGTAATGTCGGGGTGAGCTTATATCTTTAAAAATGTCAATATTTCACAAAATATTTTTTTGAAATTGCGCTGTACTTTTTTAAATATTGACGATTTTAAAGATATAAGCTCATCTCGATGTTACAATCATCAAGAGCTTTCATTTGAGTACCCACATGCATTTTTGATATATTTTTCATTTATACATATATATAATATATATAAATATATGAAAAATTGATGTGGGTACTCAAATGAAAGGTCTCGATGAGTGTAACGTCGAAATGAGCTTATATCTTATAAAATGTCAATAGTTTACAAAATACAAGGTCATTTCCTAATTATGTATCTAGAGATATTTTCGAATGCAGCCTTAATACTTATCATAATAAATTAACTATCGCTAAAAATTATATGAAACCTTGAAAAGATAAATTCAAGTCAAGATCTGTGCAAAAAAAAAATTAAGTTCTACACATAAACCTTCTTAAGAAGCATGACATCTATAAAACAATGAACTTATCATCAAATATATATAACACAAGTACTTTGAAGCAAATGTTGAGCTTAGGATTTGTCAGCATTAACATTTTTTCACTTTACTACCTCGTAAAATAAATCCCCTGTAAGACCAACCGGAAATGGCAATTGCTGAATACATACGAAATTCTATATCATATTACTTTGCACTTATATTGTGTCACTGATAAAAAAAATTAATTTTATTAATTAAAAAAAAAATCTTCATCAAATTTTTCTTTTAAGCAATTTTTCTTATTATAAATTTTAAATTACTTATGCATTATAGAATAATTAACAAGTACATATTTTTCCAGGTTGTTTGTCGATAGTCGCTGCGAGTTTATTTGCATTGCAAACCGATGACCGAGCCAATAGTTACATTATCACTCGAGGCGAAGGTTTTTATATGCAGGTAATTTATAATTTTTTTTTTCTATTAAATTTAAATATTAATATTTATTGCTAATTTGAATATTTATCGAAAAGAAAGTTGGAAATATCGGAGATGGCATTGTTATTAAAATTACAAAAATTTATTCTAAAACCGAAAAGTAGTACGTAGAATAATAATTACTAAATGTTAAAATTAGCATTATAGTGGATTACAATAAAAATCAATTTGTCTGAAAGGAAAAAAGTGTTAAGTATTTTTTAAAATTATTTCTGCTAAGTGATTGGTTAGAGAGAGACTTTCTCGGTAAAATTTCCCAACGTGAGTTGCTCAAACAATTAGCGAGCTGATGATTGAATTAATGATGAGCTAATGAAAAAACCTTCAATTTATACACTTAAGCTTTAGACGCGACAATTTAGCGGCTTTTTATGGGACAAAAAATCCTATCGGTAATTATTGGGTCAATATAATTAAATATTTGCTTTGTGAATTATAAAAAAAAAAAGGAATATATTTATTTTTTGAATAATATTGATCTTACGCACTTGTTTAAATTGTAAATACGTTTTTGAAATAATAATTACGCATTGAAATAATAAAAATCTAAAAATATGTTTGTTTCAATTAAATATTTGTCTTTTATTTAAATATTTAATTTTATATTTTTTTTCTTTGTAATAATTTTTAAATAAATAATTTTATGATTTTTTGTATTAAAAAATTAATTAATTTTTTTAATTAATTACTTAAATTAAATTATTTAATTTTATTTAAATTAATTTTTTTACTAAATTATTTATTGAAAAATAATTTTATGATTTTTTTTATTAAATAAAATAATTAATTATTTAAATTAATTATTTAAATTAAATTAATTAATTTTATTTTAATTAATTTTTTTAGTAAGTTATTTATTTAAAAATAATTTTTTTTATTAAAAAAATAATTAATTATTTAATTAATTTTAATTAATTAATTAATTTTTTTAATAAATTATTTATTTAAAAATAATTTTATGATTTTTTTTATTATAAAAAATAATTAATTTTTTAAATTAATTATTTAATTTAATTAATTAATTTTAATTAATTAATTTTTTTAATAAATTATTTATTTAAAATTAATTTTATGAGTTTTTGTATTAAAAAAATTAATTAATATAAAATTTCTTGAGATTATTAAAAGTATAGACAAGATGTTTGCGTAATTTCCGTTTTACGATAGTTTATTACTTGTAAGCAAGGTCTCAGTTATCCATGTGATAAAGCTATGAGAATTAATAAAGATTTAATTATAAATTATAATAATAATTGATATGTGTAGTGGGTGGAGATATAGAAAATCTTATTAAGAGTTTGAACAGAGGTTTAATGTAACACCTGAGGGACACTTGCGGATGTTGATGATTCGCAGGTGTCTTTATTTCATTCGCGATTAGTATGAGATACGTATATCGAGTAAACGTTAGTCTGCAGACTTTTAAAACAATCTGCGACCCGGTTAAGCGTTCAGTTGCTTTTTCAGCGCCTCGGGTACAAGTTTTATCTTTTATTTTATTTTATTTTCCCGAAACTTTAAATTAATATTATATTTTTTACACCTCAAGAATGTTTAGCGAAACAATTAGAATCCCTTATGCAAATTACACACTTTATTGTCCCAGTGAAACTCTATTTTCTCATGCTCGTTATTAAATAATGAAGTTGTCATGAACAAGCGACCGCGGAATTTACTGAAAGAGGCGAAAGATGACGTTAAAATGGAGCGCAGAAAACAGAAACGTGGAAAGGTACTTTGATTTTGTAATTAGTTAAATTATGTTTGATGGAAATTTTTATTAGTAGACTGGACATTTTAAATTGATTTATATTCACGTATGTTCCGGAATTATTAAGAAAATTAGATTTTGAAATTAATTAAAAATTTTAATACAAGTATTTTAAAATTAACCGGCCAGAAATTTGTTTTTTAATTATCTGTAATAATGTGACTATCGTGACTTATAAATTATAAATAAATAAAATTTTGCTTTATTAAATAATGACTTTTGGTAAATTGCACTGTACTTTCTTAAATATTGACATTTTTAAAAATATAAGCTCATTCTGATGTTGTACTCATCAAGAGCTTTCATTTGAGTACCCACATGCATTTTTATATATTTTTCATATATACATATATATAATATATAATATATATAAAAATATATGAAAAATTGATGTGGGTACTCAAATGAAAGGTCTCGATGAGTATAATGTCGGGATGAGCTTATATCTTTAAAAATGTCAATATTTCACAAGACATTTGTTAAAATTGCTACTGTATTTTTTTAATTATTGACATTTTTAAAGCTCATCCCGATGATACACTCATCAAGAGCTTTCATTTGAGTACTCACATGCATTTTTGATATATTTTTCATATATTCATATATATAATATATATAAATATATAAAATATATGAAAAATTGATGCGGGTATTCAAATGAAAGGTCTTGAAGAGTGTAATGTCGGGATGAGCTTATATCTTTAAAAATGTCAATAGTTAACAAGATACAAAGTAATTTCTTAATTATTTATCTTATTAAATAAATTTAATAGAAAAATTCAACATTTATAAATTAAAAAATAAATTTTTGTTTCAGTTGGGAGCAATAGTTTTAAATTTCGGCGTTCTGATATCCTCGGTTTACGAGGGAATATACGCAAGAAGAGGAGGAGATCCTACGAAGATACGGGAAGTAGTGGATGTACGTTCAACGACAATCAATAATCCCGGATACAGAGAACATTCAACCAATGGTGAGAAATTTTCAATAATAATAACAATAACTGTAAATTATAGTGTAGCGCAATATCTGATTGATTGCTCGCCTCGGAGCGCAATAAAAAGCAATTTGGCCGTACGACGGCATTAAGGAAGAGCAATTGGTTTAGATACTGAGTGCTTCAGAGAAATGTCAAGTCGCGTATGACGGAGTGTACAGGTCGCTCGGTAAATTGCCATGTCTAGCTGAATTTACTCGCGTTCTACGCATACTAGAGCGCCTACGGATGAATGAGATGGCACTCTGCAAGCTTTCACAAACAATTTACCGCAAGCTAGAATTCGCGGTGTTTTTATACAAAATTAACTTTGTATTTTTTATTCCCACTTCTGCTTTTTCTGTCAAGATTAATAAATTGTAAATACTTGTAGGTAGGTTTTATTTTATTTTTTATTGAGTGAAAAATTTTATGAAATTATAAAAGCTTTAATAAAAATTATTATTTTAATCATAACTCATAACAATAAAAATAATAATAATAGTAATAAATTTGATAAAAAAATTAATTAAAATTTATTTCATTAAAAATTTAATTAAATTATGAAAGTATAAAAAAAATTATTATTTTAACAATAAAAATAATAATAAAAAATTTAATTAAAATTTTATTATTATAAAAATTGACAGCAATTGTGATTGATAATAAAAATAGTAATATATTTTTTTTTTTTTTTTTATTTTTTAGGTATCTCAATGACTGACGCAAGTGGAAAACCCTACGTCGGAGGAGTCACTAATGGTTCGATGGCATCAGTAACGACTTCTGGGAGTGTGGGTAGCACAATATCGCCGCTTCGTAGTTCTCTAAAAAAGCCAAAACCCTTAGGAATCCAAAACCCTGGATTTTCTACGCACAGCCCGACGCTTTCCAGAAACGGGTCGCATAAAAAAGTCAGGATTCAAACACATTCAACCGAAGTCTAAGTCTAATAATTTTATAACTTTTTAAATTAAAAAACTATAAACTATTTTAAATTAGTGAATTGGAATTATTCCAATTAAAAAAAATGTGTTGTGATAGTTGCGCGATTTTCTAAAAAGTGCTTGTTATTTCAATTCTCCGCGGAGATATTCTAAATAAAACACAAGCATGATGAAACTAAAAATGATATTGTAATTTTAGTTGAATATATTAATTTATATATTCCGTCCAGCCCTTCGTCGGCAGCTAACCGTTAATCGGTATAAAACAGAGAGATATTTATACATAGATATATTTTTTAGCGATTCTCTTATATATTAATATATTTAAATATATATATAGTTATTATAGAAAATAGATATCAATTATTATATTATTATATTTAATAATTATTAATTTAGTGTTGATGCACAAGTCCTTTTTATTTTATTTTATTTTTTATTTTTAGAAGCTTTTTTTAATCATTTTTAGAGATCATTAAGTCATTGTTGTAAAATTAATTTATTTATTAGGTCATCAGAATCTGTTTTGTTATTAAGGGGGTATTTTGGTCTAATTTGAAAAAATTCATTTTTTTCATATTTTCAAGGTGCTTTTTTTAAAACTGTATTTTTTTACAATTCAACCCAAAATTTTTATGAAAATGAAATTAGCTGACAATTGAAAATTTTTATTAATTTTTTATCGAAAAAATTTCAATTAAACAATGAAAAAAAAAATATCATATATTTAAAACTTAATAAACTATAAGTGCAATTTTTTATAAATATCTTTTTAGTTGTAATTTAATTAAAAAAAAAAAAATCAAAAATTTTTACACGTCTGTTAACTTCAGTGTCATCAATTTTTCAAGTTCTATTCAATCAAATTACTTGAAATTTGGTGTAAGTCTTTTTTATAGACTTCTCTAGCTTAAAAATTATCTTCATCCCAAAATTTCAATATTTAATATTTTTAAAAAATTCAAAAAACTCAAAAAAAGTGGTAAAAAAAATTATTTTTTTTCAGGCAATTTTTTTTTGTGAAAAAAAAATTTTTTTTTAATTAATACTCTAGCGGCATTATTTTGAATTAATAATTTTTTTTTTTTAAGCCCCACTTTAGTAGCTGCTAACTTTTTGAATTTTTTTTTCTGAAATATTTTATAAAAAAAATCAATAGTAAAAAAATTACCTTAAATTCAAGCTTCTAGACCATAATACCCCCTTAAATAAAATTGCTCTGGGTAATGCGATCACCGGTCAATATTTATTGAAAAGAGCAGGTCTCACTTTTTCTAAAAAAATTTATTTTTTAAAAATTTTATTTTTATTAATTATGAGTTGTTAATTTTTTATTTAATAAAAAAAATTGAGTTTGATAAATGTGTTTGTAAAAAAAAATTGTAATTGTTAATTTGTTGTTTAAATTATTTAAATTAAGTCAATAATGTGAGTACTAAAATAAAACAGTGACACTAAGTTAGCACTTACCTACAATGTGATCATTAAATTCGTCCATTAAATAAATATTTAAATTGTTTTGCTAATAAAGTATCATATTAATTAATTTTAAATGCATCTATCCGTCCGTCAATAATTTGTAAATATAAATTTATAAAACCGCGTCTAATATTAAATAAAATATAAATATAAAATACGAGTTTTTTTTGTTCACAAATGTAATTCAAGGGTTATTTGAACCGTAACTCATCAACGGCTGTTTTTTTTTTAGGTCACTTAATTTTTAAAATCTCCTGATGTATGACTTTTATGTAAATCGATGTAGCGAGGCAACTAATTGAAAAAAAAAAAAAAAAAAAAAATAAAAATTTTATTATTGACTGAAGAAAAGTAAATTATTTAATTAATAAAAAGTCTTTTTTTTTTTGTAAAAAAATTATGTTTATTTTTATTACATAATTATTATTATTTTTATTGTTAATTAATTATTACTTTTTTTAATTTAATCGCTCTTTGGTATACGGTTATAAAATTCCTCTCCTGGAGGTTTAATAACAAAGTTAGAAATATTATTTATAAATTTAATTAATTAAATAAATAATTATTGTGATAATGATATAATAACGAATAATTTAGCGGTAAATCTGTAAGGCTCGTCGGGACCGACGATATGAGATCAAGCATTTAATAACTTTATTTAAAGATATATATATCAGGACGGTTGGATTGTCTAAAAAAGATTTGAAACCCGTTAAAAAGACTTTTATTAATATTTTATTATTAAAATTATAAATATCACGATGAAAAATAATTATTATAAATTAAAAGAAGTTTTGCCGTTGTTTGGAGGGCACTGAGGATATTATCTCGCGGCGTTTCCAAACTGGAGCAGCCACTGAGTTCCGCTGCTGTCCGGAGGAAGAGTTGCTGATAGACCCGACAGAAGAGCTCGAGATCGAGGAAACTGAAGTTATCACGGAATTGGATTTACCTGCAAGACTTTCCGCGTCGGGGATGTGCCTGGTCTGGTGCCTGGAGTCGGTGTACCTTCTTTTGGTGTACTTCTTGCTGTCGCTGCCCGTTGAAGAGGTAGTAGTTGTTACGTTCGTCGAGATGGTGCTTGTTTTTGAAGACTTGTCTTGCGAAATGTGGAGCATTCTTTCTATATCAGCAGTTTTGGACCTTGAAAGATTAAAAATTCATTTTTAATTAATTTTTTTATTAATTTAATGATTATTCTGGTTTTTTTTATTAAAAAAATATTATTTTTTTATTTTTTAAAATTATATGCAAATTTTTAAACAAACTGAAGTTTTTTTTTTTTTTTTTAATTTAAATAATTAATTTTTTTTCCAATATATATATATTAAAAATTTATAATTTCTAGTAGTAGAAAATCGAGCGCGCTTTTACCAACATGTCATTTCTTAGTTATTGACATTTTTTAAGATATAAGCTCATCCTGATGTTACTCTCATCGAGAGCTTTCATTTGAGTACCCACATGCATTTTTGATATATTTTTCATATATACATATATGTGATGTATATATAAATATATAAAATAAAATATATGAAAAATTGATGTAGGTATTCAAATGAAAGGTCTCGATGAGTGTAACTCGAGGATGAGTTTATATCGTTAAAAATATCATCAGTAGACAAAATACAACGTCATTTCTTAATTATTGACATTTTTTAAGATATAAGCTCATCCTGATGTTACTCTGATCAAGACCTTTCATTTGAGTACCCACATCAATTTTTCATATATTTTATATATTTATATATTTCTCATATTTGTAAAATATATAAAAAAAATCGTGTGGGTATTCAAATGAAAGGTCTCGATAAGTGTAACTCCAGGATGAGCTTATATCTTTATTCTTTATAAAAAAAAAAAAAAAAAAATAAAGTTAAATATTTTTTGTTATTAAAGAGCGCATTTGTTGAAATAAAAAAAATTATATACTTAAATATTTATAAAATTTTTTGTGTAAAAAAATAATCATTTTCCGGAACAAAAATGATCCTTTAATTAATAAAATTAGTAAAAAATAGTCACCTTAAGACAGCGCCACCGATACTGGTGATACTAGGCGTGTAAGCGGGTGAAATAACAGCTTTAGAGGCTTCCTGGCTGACGGATCTAGAAATCTGCCTGACTTCGCTGGAAGTAGTGAAGGAAACCCTCTGCAAAACAGCCTGCTGATCCGGGATGTAAGAAACAGCAGTAACCGTGCTGTCAGGACTAGCTGGAGGAGAAGAGGCCCAAGACGGGGGCGAGCTTGGCGGCTGATCTCCAGACAAAGTCGCTGATGAACCCACAGCACTGTCGCTTCCATGTCTGCCACCTACACAGAAAAAAAAAATGTTTTTGAATCAATTATATAATTTTGAAGAACTTATTCTTGATTTTTTTTTTTTTCAGTTTAGCATTTATAGAATTTTTATTTTTTATCAAATAAAATATCAATAATTTTTTTACCTTCGCTGCACCCGGATATTGAGCGCTGCCGCTGTCGCCTAGGAGGCACCGAAGGTTTAGGCTGTTCCTCGATGAAAGGGATGTCGGGATCGTCGAGATTCAGAGTGAAGGCTCCGGTCATGGGAATAGTGAGGCTTGCAGTGATGATCATCGGAGAGGACTTGCGTCTAGGGTCCGCGGGGTCCTCACTGGATCCACTGTCCACACTATTGCTCCTGCCTTCTTCTTTCCTTCTGTTGCTGGGCCGTTTGGGCCTTCGCGGCTTCGGTCCGATGTCTCCTCCGATTCCAGCCGTCTGGTGGAGACACTGCTCCCGGGACCAGACTTTCTTGGCCGTTTGAGCGGTGGAAATTATTCCTCCAAGAGCTTCGTCTACTGAAAAAGTCTCCGCTTCGCTGCAGGGGTCCACTTCGTCGTTGCATTGCCTGGAATTGGTAAAAAAAAATTTTTATTGATATTAATGATGCATAATTAATTTTTCTGAGGATCTACTCGAGTGATAAATGATATAATTTTTTTTTATTATTTAATTTGAAGGGAGAAAGGAGAGATTGGGATTTAGATTGAGAGAAACTCACTCTTCGGCACGTCGTGAGAGCGCAAGGTCAAGATCTGCAGGGTGAGTATCCATCATGTGGAGATAAAGCTCATCTAGAAGAGCAGCTGGGATTGTAAACAGAGTTGCTGAGTTCTCCAGCAATGCACGGACGACATTAATCACGTCGATACGCTCTTCTGCTCGCTCTACCGACACTTCTGATCTTGTTTGTCCGGGTTTCACGCAGTGAAGGATGTTCGGTGCAAATACCTTTAAATTAATAGATTATTTATCATTTATAATATCTTTAGAAAGTCAAGGAATTTATATAGAATTTTTAGAATTTTTTTTATTGAGAAAATTATTAGAAAAAAATAAAAAAAAATGTCATTTGTAAAAAACTTTAAAAGCTATAAGTGCAATTTTTAAAAAATATTTTTTAGTTTTAATTTCACAAATGAAAAATGATCAAAAAATTAAAAACGTCGGCTAACTTTAGTATTATTCTTTAGAAAGTCAAAAAATTTATATAGAATTTTTTTTTATTGAGAAAATTATTACAAAAAAATTTTCATTTGTAAAAAATTTGAAAAACTATACTTGCAATTTTTTAAAAATATTTTTCAGTTTTAAATATTAATTTTTTTTTTTTTACTTAAAAACGGCTAACTTTAGTATTATATAATTAATTTTTTTTTTTTAGTAGATAGTTACTGTAGCTAGATTAGTGAGATCCATTTTATTCCCGGGAATCCATTCTCCGGTTTCGTCTCTGACGTCCTCGCTGTTGGCAGCGACTTCAGTTAAGAAGCTCAGCAAGGCCCAAAGAGTTTCTCTATTCGGTGTTGGTAGTAGCTGAATAAGGTGCTGGAGCGCCTCTTGTTGAAGCCGTCTGTTTCGTATTTCTGCACAGAAGTAACACCTGATTAAGTTTTTATTATTCATTTATTATAGATTTTTTTTAATATTATTTAAAGTAGTACTGTCGGTAATAATTACTATTTAAAATTTAATACATTATTAAAATATAGTATTAAATTTTTAAAAAGTATTTAAATTTTGTGAAAATTAAGTTAGTTGACATCTAAAAATTTTTAGAATTTTTTTTATTTAAAAAATGACTATAAAAATATTTAAAAAAATTTTTTTAACAGTAAAATTAAAACTAATTTAATAAAAAATTAAAAACTTCAGCTAGCTTTATTGAATTTTATCAAAAATTAAAATTGTATTTATTTAAAAAAAAATTTTAATTAAATTATTAAAAATACAAATTCAAAATATATAACGGTAATAATTAATTAAATAAATAAATTTTCAATATAAATAAAATGATGCTAGATTTTTAAATTTAATTTTTTCAATATCGACAGGACTACCTTAATAATAATAATAATAATAATAATAATAATAATAATAATATTATTTAATATTAATCCCATATTTTAATTAATAAAAATCGCTTACTCTGAGTGTGAACGAAGGCTTGATAAAGGTCTCGGCAAAGCAGTGGGTCCGGTAAATCGCGGAAATACTCTTTAAGAAGGGTTGCTACATCGTGAGGACATTGATCAGCATCTATTTTAGCATCTCTTCCGCAATCAAAATTTTCTCTAAGCTGCAAAATAATAATTAAATTAATTATTAATTATTAAAAAAATTTTTTTAAATATTTAATTAATTTACTCACTTGATAATTAATTAAAAATTGATAGCATGATAAAAAAGTAAATTACATTAATGAAAATGTAAGTAATTAATAAAAATAGAAACATACTTGTCTGACCCGCTTCTTGGATGGCGAAACCCGAAAAATTCCTAACGTTCTCAACCCCGTCAGCTCGAGATGTTTGATGCATTGTCTAACGATCGCGGGCACTGCATCCCATTCGCCAGGTGGTCCGCCTCCGCTATCGCTCAATTCTGGGCCACCGGAATCGCTACCAGCCAGTGCTCCTCCCTTCGACGACAGAGACTCGCAGGAGCCGCCCTGGTTGGTAAAAATATAAATATTGATATTAAAATATTCAGATAAATATTAAAATATAAGTAGGAGGGAATAGTAAGCCGATTACAAAAATTCATTTAATGAAAATCGTTGCAAAACGAGTAGAGAATCTTAATTAATCCGGTTAAATTTAGATTGTTAGCGGCCCTGTTCTATTTTAACTTTAGACGAGTTTATGACGTCACAGGTGACCAGACTGTCGCGGTACTCGTCGTTTAAGTGACGTTAATGCTCTATTATATACATTACATTTTTTTAATAATCATAATAACAATAACAATAAATTTTAATGTTAATAAGACGGTGGAATTTTTAGCCTATTTTTTAAATTTTGGCTCAATAATTAGATAAAATTGATAAGGAATTTTTTTTTTGTAGAAAATTTAATCTTTAACAAAAAAAGACTAATGATTTTTTTATATCTTCAATATTTGACCCAAAATTTTGAGTTGAAAGCTAAAAACTCAAAATTTTAAGAAATAAACTAATTTTTTATTTATTTATTTATTTATTTACTAATAATAATAAAATATTATTTTATCTATCGATCGAATAAATTTACCCTATAACATGATTGATATTTTTCTCATTTTTCATTTATTCAATTCCGTGATCTTACTATTTCTATATATACATATATGATATATGTAATTTTTGAAAATATAGAGCATCGATTTATTATTCATCTACACGACTCATGAATGTTTCATTTGACAGCTGCCAATAGCACATCTTCGTAATGATAACGATCGAATTTTCTAATAACAACCTTAAATACATAAATACAAATAATGTATTAATAATAATAGTTATGTTTATTATTTTTAATAAAAAAAAAAATTGTAAGACCCTTTATAAATTTATTAATAGCAGCAAATAAATTATCGAACGTTCGAATGAATAATGGCCTCGGCGAATAAAAATAAAAGAATAAATTATAAATAAAATTTAAAGAAAACTTTGGGATAATTATAACGATGAGATTAATTGGTCTGGGCGTTTTATTTAGTGATTCGATCGGTTATTCAGAGATTGGATTGGATTTTCCCTCGCAAGCGGGTGTGTATTTTTACCGGTTGGGGTTTTTAATTTACTTGTCTTCTTGGAAAATAACAATTTAACAACAGATACAGATAATCTATATTATTAAGAGAATAAGAAAAAAGTTGTGCTCAGGCCTTTTCAAGGTTTCATATCATTCTCACCAATAGCCAATTTATTATGATAAATATTTAGGCTGCATTTAAGAATGCTCTATCTCTAGATACATAATTAAAAAATGACCTTGTATCTTGTGAATTATTGACATTTTTAAAGATATAAGCTCATCCCGATGCTACACTCATCGAGACCTTTCATTTGAGTACCCACATCAATTTTTCATATATTTATATATATTACATATATGTATATATGAAAAATATATCAAAATGCACGTGGGTATTTAAATGAAAGCTCTTGATGAGAGTAACATCGGGATGAGCTTATATCCTTAAAAACGTCAATAGTTAAAAAAGTACAGTGCAATTTAACATAATTAACAAATGACCTTGTATTTCGTGAACTATTGACATTTTTTAAGATATAAGCTCATCCCGATGTTACACTCATCAAGACCTTTCATTTGAGTACCCACATCAATTTTTCATATATTTATATATATTATATATATGTATATATGAAAAATATATCAAAAATGCATGTGGGTACTCAAATGAGAGCTCTTGATGAGTGTAACATCGGAATCAGCTTATATCTTTAAAAAAGTTAATATTTAAGAAAGTAAAGTTATTATTTTATAAAGCAAAATTTTATTTATTTATGATTCAAAAGTCACGGCAGTCACATAGTAACTGCAAGGTTGCTAGTTCATTGATTAATTCACGGTGACTTAATCAGGAAAATAATTCGACAACGGTGCAGATAATACTTAGCTTTTCTTTTTCACCTAAATTCTTAGTGATTTATTCGACTGGGGTTATTATAATAGCCATCATTTATTTTTTTTACATCATATATTAGGGGAGAAAAATCATTTATTTGACTCGTGACGTCTTAAGTCATATGTCAATTGATAAGTCAAATTTTTCTTAATTAATTTTTTATTTTATTGATAAAAAAAATTCAATTTTTAGTTAAAGTTAAAAATAAACTCTTCCGGTAATTTCTCGAGTAAAAAAAGGATTTTTGGTAAAAATAAAATTAATTTATGTTGATTTAACCTTTAAAAATTTACGAGCTCAAGCTTTCACTCGTTATATATTTTATCCGAAGTAAAGTAATTCGAAAAAACTAAAAAAAAATCATCTTTTTCTATATATAAATTCAGTAAAGTAATAAATCTAAAAAAAACTTCGGCCAAACAAAATATTTAATTTTTAATAACAATCAAAATATTTTATTCCCGCAATAAATTTTTATACTTTAAATATTAAAATTCAATAAATTAATTTAAACTTATACTTATACCTAAAATAAAAAATCGCGAGTGAGAAAGAGAAAGATTTTTAAAAATCGTACTGTAGTTGAGTCTTGACCCGAGTGTGCTATAAATATAAAAAATTAAAACGTCACAAGTGGTAAGGTCCCTACACTACAAAACACTAAAAATAGTCCAGTTATTCCCTCGGGATTTAAGATAAATTTCTTTGCTACCAATACAAGTAAATCGAGTGATATGTTACCACTTGTCCTAACAAATCTCCCGATAATGCTTGCTGAATTTTTGCGGAATCTAAATTTCCGTATTACATTTATAAGAAAAAAAAAAAAAATTCAGGATGGTTCAGATTGACTCGCAGTAATGGAAATGAATAAATAGATTAGATCTTAGAAATTAGGGATTAAGGGGACTACGGTATCGGAAGATGTTACTCACCTCATCTGTTTTCGAGGCAGCAGTGTGTGTGTCAATGAGGCTGGTAAAGCTAGTTCTACTACCGTGTCTGCTGTTTCTAGATAAGCACCCGACGTCAGCAACCTCCCCAGCGCCGATCCTAGCCAGTCGGTCGTTCTCGAGGCATTGCGATATTGGAATTCCAAATACAAGACCACCAGCTGAATCTGCAGTTCGATAATTATTAACAGATTGTAGTAATTCCATTTTATTATAAAAAATAGAATGATAATAAATAATTTTTCCTTTCTATTTAGGATAAAAAATATTTTAAATTTCTATCAAATAAAATTAATTTTTATTTATAATTTAATTTAGTATAAGTATTTAGACTGCATACGAAAATTGTCTATCTCTAAATGCATAATTAAGAAATAACCTTGTATCTCGTGAACTATTGACATTTTTAAAGATATAAGCTCATCCCGATGTTAGACTCATCGAGACCTTTCATTTGAGTACCCACATCAATTTTTTATATATTTTATATATTTATATATTTCACAAATACCATATATATGAAATATATAAAAAATGCCATGTGGGTATTTAAATGAAAGGTCTCGATGAGAGTAACATCGAAATGAGTTTATATCTTAAAAAATGTTAGTAATTAAGAAATGACATTGTATCTTGTCATCTAATGACATTTTTAAAGATATAAGCTCACCCTCACATTACACGTATTGAGACCTTTCATTTAAGTACTCACATCAATTTTTCATATATTTTATATATTTATATATATTACATATATGTATATATGAAAAATATATCAAAAATGCATGTGGGTACTCAAATGAAAGCTCTCGATGAGTGTAACATCGGGATGAACTTATATCTTCAAAAATGTCAATAGTTAATAAAATATAGTTCCATTCAACAAAATTCATTATTTAATAAAGCAAAATTTTATTCATTTTATCTAATTTCTAAATTGTTATTATTATTTAATTTAAAGAATTAAAATTTTTAAATACATTTAATTACATTAATAAATCTAAATAAAAAATGATAATTATAATAAATTAAAACTAAAATTAAAACGAGTTAAAAAAGTGATTTCCCGGTGCATTAGACGGATAAAAATAATTTTTATTACATTTTTGAGAATCATAAAAGACGTAGTTTGAATTATTTTATTTATAATACCATGGCTGCAAACTATTGAATAGGCTTGTGTTGAAGTTAAGGTTTAAGCTGAGTAGTATATAGGAGATATATGTATATAACAATAATAATAAATAATAATAATAATAATAATAATATAACTCTGTCCCTACGTACTGAATACTGAATACCAGTGACGAGGAGCCGATTATAGAACGCGATCTGGGCCATGTAATGTATTTGTTGGGTCTAAAAACAATTTTAGTGTGTGGGTCTATGGTGTCGAGTTGGATTAGTAAAAGGATCGAGCGGAGCTTAAAGCGCGAGATTGTATTGTAGACAGATGTTGAAGCAAGTATTTAAGTATTAAGTATGAGGATAGAGACGGATGAGATGAATTGTGAGAAAATTAATACGGAGTGAGTGACCTCTTGGCAGATAGAGCGATGCATCGATTGACGTACCAGGGTGCTTACGGCTTTTTACTTTTTTTTCGTTTTATCCTCTACTCGGTATTATATATCGCAGAGAGAGTATGCGAAAAATAGAATTTTAGGGTGTACACCCGGCCACTGAAGACCGTAAATAAATTTATATGCGGAAATATGCAACGCCACTGACTACCCTGTTGCTATAATTAGATTTTTAAATTATATATTATACAAATCTGTCAATTATTTTATTTCTTTATTTTTTTTTAACTAATTTATTTTAATAAAAAAAATATTGATAATTTTTTTAAAAATTATTTTTCAAGTAAAAATTAATTAAAAAGTATAATTAATAATTGAGACAATAAGTAACAACCTTGAAAAAAATAAACATTCTTATCGAATAAATAAAAAAAAATCTTATCAGCTAGACATTATTATATCAAGGCCAAGTATCTAATGGATGTAACTAATCTCCCGTTTCACAAAAGGTCAAGTGCTTATCAAACTCCGTAGACGCTGAAATTAACAAACAATCCTGGGACTAATTGCAAGATTGACGTAGATCGTAATTCCCAATTAAAATCTAGATCTAAACATAATTCCCTTTGAGAAAGTAGAAAAAATTGTAAGTAGAAATTTTGAAGAAGGTTTTATTTAAATAAAGCCTATTTTAGCAGCAGACATTTGTTATAGTAACCATTTTAGATCTCACAAAAGTGTGCAATCTCTATTTCTCACCATGAGTAGGATATTAATAGCCTCGGTTGCTATTACTGGTCACCAGTATATGCTACGGGATTTGTCAAGTGTATACAACCGCGGAAATAAATTATTGCACTGATAAAAAAAATTTATTTTGATGCAGGAAGATTATTTTTAAGAATTTAACTAAATAAAAGGCCACTAAATAAAAGCTAAATAATTATTTATTTAACTAAATAAATAATTTAAAAAAATTATCAAAAGTGGGCATGTAAAGGCCTAATTTAAAGATAATTATGTGAACTTTAACATTCATTTAATAGATTTAAGCTATTTTTTACTGCTAAGAAATTATTTTAAGATAAAGGCTCGAAATTAGAAAATTTTTTCAAATTTTTAAAGTAGCAAAATTAATTCGAAAAATAATAAAAATTAGACGAATAATAGGAAAAATGAAAGGTCATTACGTGAAATTTAAGATAAATTTGAGTTATCTTCAAGGGTTTGAAAATAATTTCCATAAAATTGACAGAATTGTAATTTTTTTGAAACTAAAAAATATTTTCTAACACCCACAACTTGTAAACTAACCGGCCGATTTCGCTCATCTTCGAACTAGATCTTGGTATTGATCCACAGAATGAGCCCACAAAATTTCATGACGATCGGTTGAGAACTTTGGGCGCAATCCTGCTAACATCGCGCGTTATATCACATAAATAGGGTAGAAGTACCTTTTTTGGTCACTTTAGCACCGTTTTTGGCCAGTTAAAATTTGAATTAATTATAAATAATTAATTATATTAAAGATATTAGACGGTTTTTTAAAGTGATAATAAATTTTGAAGTGATTGTTTTTTTTATACAAATAGAAGATTCTCTAAAATGGAATTAGACAATTTGCTAATTAGAACGTCGATATGACAAAATTTTCTTAAAATTACAACATAAGATTTCTAAAAAAGTAATTTTAATTTTTTTATCAATGTATAAAATTTAATTAATATTATTTACCTTTGTCTTTATCTTCCTTGGTCTTGTTTTCGAAGAATCCAGTGGTTAGTGCTTTCCTCTTTAGCAAATAAGCCCTTCGCTTCGGTTTACTTGTAACAGATGCACTTCCCAGGGATTCTAAAATTCATAAACAAGCAAACAATTAAAAAAAAAATAATTAGTGTAATTTTATTTGAATAAATAATGACTTTGAAAGCATAAATTGAAGTTTGGGATATTAATTCATAATTTAGAATTAAAACTTACCACTCGGCGGCCTGATGTGAACTCCAAGATTGAGTGCTTGAAGTTTAGCAACGGCAACTCTGCAAAGGACCTTTCTTTCAACTTCCGAGAGCACCCTCAAAGGAACATCTTGGAGAGTTACTCGACGTCCACTTGTTCCAGCCCACGTGCACTTACCCTTTGATTTTCAAATAAATTTCATTATTTTACAATTTAAATTTAAATAATTAATATTACTTTAGATTGAGAGTTTTTTAATTTTTATTCAAGTTTTTACGGGTTTATTGAGTTTACTATCAAGCGTTAAATAACTTTCAGGCGCCGTCGTTCCAACTTTCGAGGAATGAAAAATAAAAAAAATCTTATAGTAGACACAGGACATAAATGATGACTTGATATTGAGGGAAGAGATAAGACTGATTTTCGTGACTAGAGTGCTGATTACTCGAGATGGAATAAATTTAAAGTTAACAATGTCATCCTCATGGAGGATACGTGACTCTAATCGAAAGGATCGAAAGAAATATATAGCTATAATAATAGAGGCTTTAGTAAATAAAATAAATTTAAATAGTAAATTTTTTAAGAGAAAAAAATTTTTTTTTATGACATTGAAGTTAGCAGACGTCTAAAAATTTTTTATTTTTTTTCTATTAATTAAATTAAAATTAAAAAAATTGCACTTGTAGTTTTTTAAATTTTTTACAAGTGAAATTTTTTTTTTAATTGTTTAATTGAAATTTTTGCAATAAAAAATTTTTAAATGTCGGCAAACTTCATTTTTTTGAAATTCTTATTTTAAAAATAAAAAAATTTAACTAAAAAAAATTTTTTTACGCCTTTTTTGGCATCTATAACGCGAAATAATAAATAACAAATATAATTGTTAGTAAATAAATAAATAAAAAAATTAAAACAACAAAATATGAAAATATGTGTTGTACTTTGGCTAAAAATACCCGAGTGTGAGTGAACGTAACCGATAACAGCGAGGCGTGAAATTCCGCGAGTTTGCAACCACGTAATTTGTCTGTGTGTTTTTAAAAGTAAGAGTGTAAGTGCGTACTATTTTGAGCGGCGCCAGCGAAAATTCAGAGGCCCTAAATTGGTTATCAAGCCTCAGAAACTTAACAACTTTGTCAGAGTACTCAAGGTCGGTCTTCTTTCAATTTCGAGGTCAAACATCGATCTTTTTACCACGATATCAGTCTACTAACCGATGCACTTGCATTTATTTTAAATATTTATTGAAAACTGATGCAAGAGGTGGTGGGTGATTTTTTTGTGAATATTAAGCCGGTCAGACAAAACTTTTTCGATACCTATATATTGGAATTTTGTTGTTTTTCTTCTCGAGTTAATATTTTTTCAGCAGCACGTGCGCCCGAGGTCGCTAGAAATATTATTCTGTTTATGTTGAGTAGAAAAATTCGATAATTATTTACCATTTAAAATACAACGGAAAAATAGAATATAAACAGCGATAGCTAATTATTTTTTTGAGCAATTAGCTTGATCATAAAAATTAAAAATTAGCTTTATTATTGAATCTAAGTAAATTAAATTAAATAAATAATTTTTTTTTTTAATTATAAAAATTCAATAGAATTTAATTGCAATTTTTTAAATATTAATTTAATAATAAAAAAACGTTAAATATTTTAACGATTTTAATTTTATTTTTTTTGAACGAAATTTTTATTTGATGTTTTTGATATATTTTTTAAGAAAAGAAGTTGATTATCACAATTTTAACAAATTTTCAAAAAAATTTATAACTTTTTTTTTAAAATTGTTCGTTTTTTTATGTACTTTAAAAAAAAAAAATACATCCAAAAAAGATAAAATAGAAATTTTATCCAAAAACATGAGCCAAAATTTTTTCCAACTTTTGAAGGCAAAAAAAAGCTATATCAATTTTTAATTTTATTCTTTCATGACATATTTCATCATAAATGCGCCATAAAAACAAGCAGAATTAAAAAAATAAAAAAATGTTAATTTTTCACCTAGATATGGCCAAAAATAGAATGTACCCGACTTGTAAATAATTACCTTTATTTTTTCCGTATTAAAAATCGTCCCAGTATAAAAAAAAAAATTACCTGAGGAGTCCATACAGAAGGTACGGCCCTAGAAGTGGACTTGCTCCTGGACCTCCATATTTTCTTAGCCACAAGCCTGCTTCCATGATGAACAACACTGCTGGAAGACTTGCTCTTCTGCATGGCCGCTCCACCTGTAGAATTGTTAGCAGTGAGAGCGGGAGACCCTGGAGCGGAATGAGGTTTCTCTTTATGGGGATGGGACCCGTGTAACAATTGCGATAGGAAGGATTGGTGGTGTTTGGGAGTATTAGGAGTCTCCTCGGAGCCGAGTCCGGCGTCAATACTACTCCTGGAACTGGCGTTCCTGCTCACCGGAGAAGTAGTATCCGCATCCGAAAAATTGTCCGCAGTTTCCGACAACGCGCCCTTGTAAGCCCCAACCCAGTTCTCTTCCGTCTGACAGCCTTTATTATTCCCTGAATCGTCTCCAGGCTTGGTAATTTCCCCCTTAGCCTTAATATTCCTGAGGTTCCTGTCATAATTAACCCTCTTGAACCTGTCGGCTTTGTCAGCGTCAATTGACTTCTTCCTGGCCATCCTGAGGTACCTTTTGATCGTATCGCTCACTGAGGGAGAGACATCATCAATATCAACACTGCTCCGTCTTCTAGAGCTCTTCCCACTGTCTCTCTGACTGGACTCTTCTTTTTCCTTATCAGACAAGGCCTCCAGGACGTGCTTGGCCACAGGTTCAGTCTGGACCACCACATCAACCGAAACAATGCCCCGTTCAGTGCTCGGAACCTGAAGCGCGATTAGCGGGGGCGGAGAACCTACTTCCCTTCTGGGCAGCCAATCATTTCCAGAATCGGTTCCGTCTTTGTTGAACCTGCTCCTGGGGTTCCACCAATGGGGCGGCGAAGTGTAGGCTCCAGTAGTCCTGAGCCCCCTGAAGCCCCTGGTGCACCTCAGGTCGAAGTAGAGCTTCTCCAGGAGCTTCCTATCGGTGAGAATTCCAGAAATAACGTGCTCCCTATTAGAAGATTTGGCATAATGCCTGCTCAAAGTGTCTATCAAGGATTTGTGGACGTAATCTCCGCGATAGGGCAGCATAGGGCCTTCTCCAGAGCTGCTTTTTGTTGATTCTGCTGGAGGTTCCTTCCCTTGAGCCATTATTAGGTCCAAATGCTGCTGGAGCTTCTGGATGAGGCTTTCATAGTCAAAAGCGCTTCCTTTTCCTTCTCCGTGCTTCCCAATTTCTCCTAATTTAGAGGAAGCTCCAGTTACTCCTCCAGGTGCTGCTTCTCCAGTTCCTGCTCCAGCATCTGAGTGGAAGTTCAGGTACTTCTGGAGCATATCTGCCAGAACCTTGGTCTCAATATCTTCCGCAGGAACTCGCCGCCTTGCGACGGGAGTCGAAGGAGTGCTGCCGCTGGACAGCAGCCAATCCCGCTTAGTTTTGGAGATGTCGAACCTCCCTCCAGAAGTGGCGGGATAAGAAGGCAAGCAGACTTGCCCTACGGAAGACCTTTGGGAGTCGTCGGCCTCGTCAGCGGAACTCGCCTTTGTTCGGCAACTCCCGCCTTTTACTAGACGCCGATTTCGGTGGGTTCGAAACCCCAGTGTTCCGGGGTAGGACGACTTTCTCCAGAGGAGGAACTTTGGCTCCTTTTGGCAGACTTCCTGGAAGTACTGCTCGATCTTTGGGATGTCCTCCGGCCGATTGTGCGCTCCGTCGGGGATCAAACGGCGACCTGCGTCCGCCATGTAACGCCAAGTCTTCCGGGTTAGTAGCCATCGCTCTTTTATTGGCTTTCCGGTTCTTTTTCGACGCTCCTTTGAGGAAGCTGGAGTTCCACAGTGAGAGGAACTTCCGTCGCTGCTGTCACGACGCGAGCGCCTTTTCCCGCCAATCCCGCCGGGACGATCCGCCATTACGGCGTCCCGAGTTTTTTTCACGACGCGCACCACTTTCGCGGTTTTCCTTAATAAAGGTCATTAACAAATTTTTTTTTTTTTGTAACGACAGTTTTATTAAGGCAACTTGCTAGTCTCTGAGAACATTTTTGTACGTCCTACCCACTGGTGTTTTTTTTTACACGAGACATAACCGATAATTTTATTTTAGTTTTTGTTTTATCAAACAAAAGAATTCACTTAAATTGTCTCTTCAATTTTTTTTTTATAAAATTCAACTACGAGATCAGTTTTTTAGTCTTAAATAAAATTTATTTTTAAAAATATTTTTTGCAACTACGTAAAAGAATTTAAAATATTTTGTTTATTTTCCAAGTGAAATTTTTCTAAAAAAAGAATTTTAAAAAAACAATACTAAAGTTTTTTATCACAACTTTTAATAATTAAATTAATTTTGAGGCTTTTAAAATTTAAAATGTAAAATTAACAGCTCACGCCCTCACTATTGAGATCGATTAATCGATAAGACTTGTCCGACTAGTACAGTAGATAGAGAGCAGAGAAAATGTCTTCGGAAGAAATGGGTAGAGCAGTGGGGAGAAGCTGAACAAACTAAAACTCAAGCAACTTAAGCGATTCTTGTAAAAATTTCTATTTTTATATCGGGCACCGATCCGATCATCCAAACGATCCCCGTGGCCAAAGCAGGTCGCGGGTGTGGGTGCATTTATGTCGGTATTTGTAGCTTCACTATTTTGATTTATTAATCAATTTTACAATTTTTAAAAAATTTTTCTATTTATTATTAATATAATTATCGATAAAACCGACGATTTCTCTACAGTATAAAGTTAACTATAATATCCGAGACTGAAATGTGTACAAGTTTTATTTAGAGCGTATCTCATCGGAGTAATGTTGGCTGTGAATTTATTTAAATTCTAGAAATTTATCCATCGTCACTTGGAATTTTCAGAGCTTTTGTTTTGTTTATTCGAGGACAATTCTTTTCACTTGAGAAATTTTTTATTTCCTCTTTCACTTTGCCGGAAAAAAAAACACTTTTAAATTTTTTTATCAACACTAAATTAATAATTAAAATTTAAAATTGTGGATAATTAAACACAGCACAAGTGATTGAAATAAAAACAAATTTTTGGATTTGAATAATAAAAATTGTAAGCTCGCGAGCCGGCAAGGTGGAGGCTGCCCAAGGTACGCGACTACTGCTCTCAGGGTGTCGCGACGTCGTGGACGCTCTGTGTCTAAAAGTGTTCGAACTGCTCTCTTCCGCTCGCCCCGGACCAATAAGAGTTACTACTTATACTTATAACTTCTACATATTTATACTAGTCGGATTATATCTAACGTGGTGGTCCCCGTGGTGTGTAGAGTCTTCCTCTTTTCAATTTCATGCTTTTCCAGCGGGTTAACTTTCGCGGTAAAAAGCTTTTTGGTTAAAAACCGCGACTTCGAGGAGGTCGAAGGAGTCTAGGGATGGTAACAAGGATTTTTTAACATTGTTCGGGGATTTATGTTTCTTAAAAATAGATGAGAGAAGATATGATGCTAGATGAAAATATTGTTTTGAGAAGAGAAATTTAAAATATATATATTGATAAATAAATAATCTTTTTTTTTGGCAAAATGGTGCAAAATCTTGGCCTACATTTAATGAAGGTTCATTCGCACAAGTGGACCATAATGATGATAGTAATAAAAATAATCGGGTAAAATGAACCCTTGGGGTCACTTGTGACGTACGAAAAATATTTTAAATATTTTTAAACTATTATTAAATTCCTTTTATATGTTTTTAAATTATAAATATGTTAAAATAATAATAATAATCTAATTTTTTAAAATTTATTGTAAAAAATCCTTGATAAGTTTTAAAAGAGAATTAAAAAATTATATTAAATTATGTATAGATATTTAAGCTATTTATTGTTAATATGTATATAAAATGTATGATTGACTGTAATATTTTTTTATGATTTTTTAATGTAGCAAAATTGCTAAATAAAACACAATATTAGAGAAGAAAATATGATGAACATTTTTAAAAGATTGTTGAAAGAATATGTCAAACTGTATAATAGTAATATAATTATCTTTCTTTAATATTAAATCTTGTAGATGAACATGTAATTGTAAATATCGTGATTATGAATAGCGAAAGCTATAGACAATAAATATTATTATTAAATAAATTTTTTATTGAAAAAAAAAAAAAAAAAATTGCTTTTTACTTAAAAAAAAAAATTTTTTTTTTCATTATTAATAATAATGTTTAACTATTAAAATTTATTATTAAAATTATGCTTCTTAAGCTTTAAATAATAATTTAATAATCAGAAAATCATACCACGCTAAAAGGGTTTAATTTTTTTTCTACGCCCACACAAACATTATCGGATATATTACGATTATTATTATAATTTATAATATAAAAATAGTAGCAAAAGAGCATAAAAGAGTAACGCACGAGTAAAAACAGAACAAGGGATGAAGGTTATTTTTCCGGCGGGCAAATATAGCCAAATATATATATATGTATATAGGACAAGGGTGGTGACGTTGAAAAAATCCCCGGAGCCTCCATGTGGGATGAATTAATACATAAAGACATTTAGATAAAGCCGTCCCGGCAGACAACACGGCGACCATCACATCACATATCCCAGCAAATCAGCTCGGGTATTCTATTCTGTATTTTTCTGTCCGAGAGTCCGAGCCTCGGCGGTCTTACCCCTAAAAATAGACATTCGCTATCTGCCGATTTTCTATCTCTCATTTTTATATCTCCCACGATTTCGTATTTTTTTTTTCTGCTCAATCATTCTTTTAATATTTATTACACTTCTTTCAGCTCGAATTGCTTTTTATGAATAATTCACGGGTAATTACTGCTGATATTTCAATTAAAAAAAAAAAAAAACCGGATCATTAATTAAACCTGAACATTATTAATCCGAAGATTAAAAAAAAATTCTTAATAAATATAAATAATAAATCTTAAAAAAAAAAATAAAATTTAATCGAAGAAATTTAAAGTTTTAATTATAAAAAAATGAGACGTTTATTGTCGAGTGAAGCTTGAGCTTGTCGACAAGTCACATGGCAATAACTTAGATGAACAAATAAATACTTTTGGATTGCGACTATTCGCGCTTAAAATAACCCGCGATCAGTCGATGACACCGTACGTTAAGCGCTTAAACAAAACGTCGGTTTAATATCTAGTCAACATACGTATTATTTCCCCCCAGATACCAGTTAAGTTACTGCAACTGAAGGTACAGTTGTATTGGTCGCCGGCAAAGCTCAAGCCAGCAGTTGCGAGACTTTAGTTAAGTCGTTAAATACACAACTAATGTCATCATTGCCAAAATCTTTTACGTCATTGATCCCCAGTGAGGTCAGACTTAATCCGCTACAGCCTTCTCTTCACTATAATATATCTGATGCATCTCCGATGTAATTTTTCACTGCTGGGTTTTTTCGTTTCATTATAAATTATAAGGCTCGTCCAAATAGCTTCCAAATCATTTCGAAATCTCTAACATAATAATTTAACTTCATTATTTTTATTAAATAATTACAGAAAAATTTTTAATTTAAAGATCTAAAGTCCAAATATTTTTTTGAACTTTCAACTAACGCTGGAGTATAATTATAAATTTATTTTTATATTTAGCTAATTGTCTAACTATTTTTACACAAGCGTTAAAATATTTTTTATTTTTAGAACGGGTTTAAAATTTTTTTTTACTTAATTCTCAGTGCAAAAATAATTTGTAGATTTTTTTCTTCACCTAAATTATGGAAATAATCAATTACATAAATTTAATTTTTAAGTATTATATTGTAAATTTTATTTTTAATGTAAAAAAAAAATTACACCCATAAAAAAAAATATAAAATATTTTTTATAAATTTTTAATATATTTAAAATATAATTTTTATCTATTTCGACATATATTTTTTTTTCATGGGGGTAGTCTTAATTTCTCTACCAAAATAATTTTTTTAATATCAAAAAAATAAATTAACTTTCCAACAAAGTAATTTTCCCTTTGAATCCTCGAGAATGTGAAAAGAGGTGACCGAAAAAAAAAAAAAAAAAAAAAAAAAAAAAAACCTAAAAGCCCCTACGGGCTGATAAAACTAATATTGCGGACAAAAAAGGTGTAAGGTCGGCATTAAGTTAAATATATAAATATATAAATGTACAAAATGGTTTGTAGTATATAAACTGAGTGACCCAAGTGGGGTAATATGTTTTTGGAAGAATTTGGAGGAAGAAGTCTCGCTTAGAGAAAGTTAAAGCCAACGCGGAAGAAGCAGATACAGGAGGCGTGTGTGCAAGCTCGCCAGAACTTTAATTCGCAAAAATATATAAGTATACTAAGTATCTTGTTATCCTACATGATACAATCTACAAGCTACATGTGTGGTAAATAAGTAACTTTTATAATTCGTATGACTGAAATCCAAATGTCTATTTTCCGACGGACAATTGCGCCAGAAATACCTCATCCCCCCGTTTGTTATTCGGCGCGACTCACATGATCCGAGTCACCATCACTGCTACAGATTTACATTAACTATTTTTTGTGACCGGCTTTATTAATAAAGCGAAAAATATTATTTTTATTTCAGTAACCAGTAACCCGATGAAATTAATTGACGGATTAACATTCGGGGATAATAATAGCCCGCGGTACAGATACAGACCTAACGCTTAAAGTTTAGCGAAAGCGAAATTAAATTATGTTTATTTTTAAATAAATAAACAATAGTCTGGCTAAGCTTTCAGTTTTAACAATTAAAACACTGATAGAAGGATTTGTTTATATTTAATAAGCTTTATTAACTGTTAATAAATAATTTTTTAACATCATAGGATTTAATAAATATTTATTAAGTATTAATAAATTATTTATTAAATATTAATAAAATATTTATTAAAATTTAATAAATTAAATAATTGTCTTCAAATAAATTAAATTATTAATAGCTAGGTAATAAATCCTTCTATCAGTACAATTTTAGTCAGAATAGATAGAATTGATTTTAGTGCCTTTATTTTTGTACAATAGGAATGGATATATTACCCCAGCCTGTAAAATTAGTTAAAATATTGGCAGTAACGCAGACAGACGTGTCCCAACGGCATTAAATCGCGGATCGCGGGTACTCTTAGACTCGGGACTCATTGTATTTCTACGTCACCCGCTTTAATTCTCTTATTTTCTGTTTATACTCACTATTATACATATAATAATAATGTTATAAGCGGAATTTATTTTTGGAAGAAGCAAAAATACCGCAAGGTCGCGGCGGTGGTCGGCGGGCTCCAATCCGCGATTCTAGAGCTTCCTTTTTATTTATTTTTTTTTTTTTCAAGCTTTGAAATTTCTAACGTGTCGCCATCTTGCTGAAAAATCTTCTAACTAGCTCTATTAATTTTATTCGATAAATTTCTTCTTTACATTTAAATTAATATTTCAAGTTTTCTTCTCATTTCATTGCCAAAATTGCCATTTTGTGTCTGACCATACGAAGATAGTACTACTGATTTCTTTTCTGCCCGTCGGTTCGAAGAAAAACTACTCTTAGCTCTTATAGGGTCCAACAGATGGCGCTAAAATACTACTTGCGGTGAAATTGAAGCTTTAAAGCTTGTAAAAAAATTTTATAATTAATTTTAGAATAAAAATTAAAATTTGAAAATTAATATTTTAATTTTTAATATAAATTTTTTTTAAAAGTAAAATAATGCCGTAAATTGAAACAAATTAAAAAAAATGATCAATTGATATTTTTTAATGGCTATAAAATTTATTTAATAATATATTTATATACTTATGAACACAAGTCGATGCTTATTTATGGATTATGATCGACTTGCACGCCAGAACTCTCGCGATATATTATTCAAAGGCGGTATAATATTATTCGCAACTGCCAAATACTATTATACTATGATAGACTTTATATATAAAATCCAAACGTGCCAATTATTGAAATTCAACTCAGATATATTCCGACAGATTTGATATTTCAAATTACAGCTGATTTATAACTTCAAATAAGATATATTAATTTTTCCGATTTGTCAATTTGATGAGTGGAAAAATTTTAAACATTAAACTGCTAATGTTACTTAACTTCCTGCTGTAATATATTCGATACATAAAATTATATTTAACCGGCAGTTAAAAGTCTGAATTTTACAGAAATAATAATAGTTTATTAATAAATATTATTTATTGGGTGTGTTTATTAATAATCCTCGTTATTTAACTATTTGTCTAGCTGGTTATTTTGTTTTATATATATTTATTATTATTATATTATAAGAGAATAATGGTGCAATGAAGAACGGTGACGCATGTAACTGTAACGTCACGAGTGAAATTTTCCTCGAGACTAATCGTATCACAGCTTGCGTTGTAGGCACGTGTGCTCGTCTGAATATTTCACTCCACGTGTGTGTTTTCTAACACACACCACGTGAATCATCAAACTTTTGGCCACTGGCAAGCTTCCATGTAATGGATCCATCATTTTAAAACTTTTTTTCTGGTCTTTAATCTAATTATTTCTATCATTCTTTCATTTCTTCGAAAAAATTAAATATTATCAAAGTATATTATTTAAATTTGATCAATTTTTTTATTTAATTATTTTTCTTTAAATTTTTTTTTTGCAATTATAAATTAATGCAATTTAATATCAATTGTTGATAATTTATAAATTTTTTTTTAATAAAAAATAAAAGTTCTTACTTGTAGAGAAAAAATTTTTTAAATAATTCTTTTTGATAATTTATTTTTATTAATATAAAAGAAAATTTATAAAAAATATTTTGATGTTAAAATTAATTTTTTTTTTCTATTATAAAAATATTTTTTGCAATAATTAAGTTTTAAAATATAAAAAAAAAAAATTTTATATAAAAAATTAAATATTTAGATCTAAAAATTTACTTTTTTAATACATTTTTATAAAATTAAATTTCATATTTATATTATTCAAATTTATTTTTGTCAACTTTAGAAATTAGTGTTAAAATAATTAATTAAAATTAAATATATTGATATTAAAATTAATTTCTTAATTCTTTTTTCAATTATAAAAAAATATTTTGCAATAATTAAATTTTAAAATTGAAAAAAAAAAAAAAAAACAATTTTATAACCAAAATTAAATATTTAGATCGCAGAATTTACTTTTATAATATTCAATTTTATTTTTGTTAACTTTAAAAAATTTTTTTAATAATTGTCGCTATTTTATTTTCGACAAAAAATTAGTGTCATAATAATTAATTAATTAGACAGAATTTTTGACTAATTTAAAGAAAAACAAGCAATTCTTCTGATGAAATAATAATAAATATTCAAACAAACTTTATCAGTTGTTAAAATAAGCGTCTAGTAATAGTAAAAGTAATAGTAATAGTATAAAGTTTTTCAAACTCCTGTCGTATTGTCGGATATGTCAGCCACGCAGACAGTCTATACATCGATCACTTATACACCAACTATTATTAGCATCACTCGCTCCTCGTTATTTTCTCTCCCCTCTTTTTAATGTAAGACAAATAGTTTCGCTGTTAAATAATAACATTTACTGTTCATATAACACCGTTAATTATTTACAATTTTCCAACCAAACAAACTGACTTTAAATAATTACAATTTTCCCCTAATTAATTACAATTTTAATTAATTTCTTTTTTTTATCCTTTTACCGCAATAAACTCCAGAAAAAAATTACCTATTAAATTATTTTGGAAGTAATTATTTAAAAGGTTTCACGCGAAAATAAATCAAAAGTTCATTGAACTAAATCAAACACGTGTAAAGATAAATTTATCTGGAGCTTTTAAACTTTCTACTCGAGCTTTAATTATTTTTGTTAAAAAAATTTTTTTATTTTAAATTTCTCTCTCAAAATTAACGAATTAAAATAAATAAAAAAACTTACCAATAATATGGTGGTACTTTTCGACAAACTGGGAGGTAGTTTGGATTCCCATGGGTGACAAATCCGGAATAGAAGTCCAGGGCATGGAAAAATACCGTCTCCGAGTAACACACGTGGCTTCAGACATTCGTAATAATTATCTTGATCACTTCACATCTTTAAAATTACAGGAAAAAAATAATCTAACAATAAATAAATAAAATCAATAAATTTTTAAACAGTTTCACTCACAACACTGTCATAAAAAGTCAGACAAGTCGTAAAACACTACTGACTAAAAATTACATAAATAAAAACGTAAGAGTAAACAAAAAAATCGATCTATCCTATATAATCCAAGGTCGCAGCTGGTAAACAAAAAAAACTTGAGCCAAATAATTAATAATTTATAACCAGCAATAATTTTTTTTTTTCTATTTCAATATTGGTCCATAATTAATTGGTAAATAATTAATTAAGCGAATGGAATTGTTGACATTTAACAATTCGGTTAATCCGTTTACCGTGTACCGGTTAATGATCTTGGCTGCGGGCGTGCCAAGTTCAGTAATTAGCGTATGACATATTTTTTTCCCTGAAATCTTGAATTTTAAATTTCACTGAACTGCACTCGAATTTTCGGCGATTAATTTTTTTTTTTGGCTATTTTTTTTTATTAGAAGGGTTTATTGATTAATTGCGGTAATTAATGGCAGAAATTAACCGGGGGGTGTTACAAGTACGATCCACGATCAACGACTGCCGCGAGGGAGAGAGAGTGGTGGCTCTGCTCGTTTAGCATTGGCACCGTGCTCGTGTGTGCTCGTGGGGGCCTATTTTAGAACCACTGTCCTCCAACTGGTGAGAACACTAATATAGAAGAGCAAGATAAAGCGATGATAAGTTTAAATGCTCGGACGACCCGTGATGTTACGAGAAAGCGAGACTGAGATAGAGATTAATCGCATGGCGATTAAATGAGATCGACCAGCAGGGTTGTACTATCATATGTCTTTAGGTGTATTATGTTGTCGTGTATTGGTTCATGCTCCGCTGAATCAAATTTAAACAAGTCTTTTGGCAGGTGTGCTTCCTGTACGTTTTTTTTTGCTAGTAGAACACTCTTGCGACATGGTGGATTTTGTTTGATTTTTAATCTAGATCTACAAAATGTTTTTTTAATTAAATTTAATTTGTTAAATAATTTTTGTAATTATTTACACGTGGGGTTAAATTTATTTTTGAACATATTTAGGAGAAAAATTAACATTTTTTTATTTTTTTTTTTTTTTTTACAGCGCATTTATGATAAAAAATAAGATAAAGATTTTGATAGCTTTTTTGCCTATAAAAGTGAGAAAAAATTTTGGCTCGCATGTTTTTGGGTAAAATTTTTATTTTATCTTTTTTTGATGTTTTTGATATATATATATTTTTTTTTTAAGACATAAAAAAACGAAAAATTAAAAAAAAAATTAATTATTACAATTTTAACAAATTTTCTAAAAAAATTTATAAATTTTTTAAAAAATTGTAATAATTAATTTTTTTTTTAATTGTTTATTTTTTTATATATTTTTCAAAAAAAAATCTATCAAAAAAAGTTGAATATCACAATTTTTTTAATAATTTATAAATTTTTTACAAAATTTGTTAAAATTGCAATAATCAATATTTTTTTTTTAATTGTTTATTTTTTTTATGTATTTTAAAAAAAAATCTATCAATAAAATCAAATAGAAGTTTCATTCAAAAAAAATGAAAATTAAAATTGTTAACCGGCCCTACTTGTAAATATTTACTAAAATATTTATTTAGTAAAAATATTATTATATTTAAAATATTAAAATATTTTATTTAGTAAATTGCTAATTAGAAAAAAGTATGGATTAAATAAAAAATTCAAGGAACTCTTAAAATTATAAAACAAAAAAATGATTATCTCAGTATGAATAAGAATAAAAATTAAAATTCATTGACCGTGATAATCTTTTTCTACGAAATGGAACAACGAGAGTAGTCAGTGAAAAATTTCCAAGACGAAAAATGCCAACAAAGAACTTTTAATAGTTGACAAAGAATTTTTATGCTTCTTGACAAAACATTTTTGGAATGTCACAAGTCACAATCTTTAGAAGCTCTCAGTTAATTAAAATAAAAAAAAAAAAATTTCTAACTTTAAAATACCGCTTAAATATTTTAATGAGTAAAAAATAATTTTTTTTTTTTTGCGCACACTGATCTCTGTGTATACAATTAAATAAATAAGTTTTATAAGCTCTTACGGTAGTAAGAAGTACCAATACACGACAAAGCCTGTGAGTTAAGTACAGACTAGTAGTCATCGAACCGTTTATAGCTTTACTCGGAACATTTAACAACGAGCGACTAAATTTGTTTGAACTTATCTTTTTTCATTAGTCACTCCCGTCTAATTTCATTTGTATCACAATTAACACCCATTTATATATTTTAAAGTTAATCTACGGGGCTCAGTTGTGTTCCGAGTAATTAAAAATAAATAATTAATTTAAAAGAGAGAATAATATTGTGAAGAACAATAAATAAATTAATGACAGCAAGCTCTTAAATCAACCGTGCAATAGCAGTAAGTGCATGCAAGTAACATTATTCTAACTAACATTGTATTATGTTATATAAATGTATTTTGTTTTGCTCACACATGACTTCTTTATTAGAAACCACCCGCAGTATCTCTCGGGCGTTTTACACCCACATTCTTCTTTCATGGCTTTCAGACATGTCTCTAACTATATAACATCGTCTGCAGTGTTGTCTGTGATCACGATTCCACGAAGACATTCAATAAATACTCATCAACACCTACAATGTAAATATTTATTTTTTTTTTAATTAATTAAAAAATATAATCCTTCAAAATATTTTTTTTTATTTTATTTATGTCAATTTTTTAGTTAGTCAATTTATGATGATTCAAGTATTTAGGCTGCATTCGAAAATGCTCTATCTCTGGATACATAATTAAGAAATAACTTTGTATCTTGTCAACTATTGACATTTTTAAAAAAATAAGCTCATCCCGATGTTATACTTATCAAGAGCTTTCATTTAAGTACCCACATCAATTTTTCATATATTTATATATATTATATATATCTATATATGAAAAATATCTCAAAAATGCATATGGGTATTCAAATGAAAGCTCTTCATGAATGTAACATCGGGATGAGCTTATATCTTTAAAAATGTCAATAGTTCGTGAGATATACGGTCATTTCTTAAAATTGCTTTGTATCTCGTGAACTATTGACATTTTTAAAGATATAAGCTCATCCCGATGTTACATTCATGAAGAGCTTTCATTTAAGTACCCCCATCAATTTTTTATATATTTATATATATTATATTATACGTATATATGAAAAATATATGAAAAATTGATGTGGGTACTTAAATGAAAGCTCTTGATGAGTGTAACATCAAAATGAGCTTATATATTTAAAAATGTCAGTAATTAAAAAAGTACAGTGCAATTTAACAAAAGTCATTATTTAATAAAGCAAAATTTTATTCATTTATAGTTTATAACTGACGGCAGTCACGTAGTAACTGCAAGATTGCTAGTTAATAAATTAATTAATTCGTAAAATTTGTTATCAGTCTCATTATAGTCCAGGAACGCAATGCACCATAGTAAAATTTAATAGAAAATTTTTGTAGTGAAGAATATGGAGTTCTTCAAAATAATTTATTTTATTAAAGTAATTTTTTATTGTGTGGTTTCAATAAATGATGAATAATAAGGAAATTGCAATAAAAATTGACAAAGCCTGGCCTCGGAATTATTTTCCCTGATCCTTGGATAACATGACATTTAATTGTAACGCCGACATATAATGTCTACTCGCACTCTTTCCATTTAGTTGGAGGATCGCAATGACGTGGTCATTCTATTTGCGATGCGGTAGACGACAGCGATATCTTTAGAGTCTTACGATACACAAATATATGTAAATATATACACCTGATGCATGTGTACGTCCGAGTCTGATACTCGTTTAGTTTGACAGTATTCTAGAAATTTTCCCACTGTTTAAAGTTTAAATAAAAATCAACTTTTCCTTCTTCTTATCCCGTAAAAAATTCAATATTCCGTTTTATATATCCATAATTTACCTTTCATATTTTCATTTACTCATCCGTAATTATTTAAATCTGTTTACAAACTTGTCCGTCCAAATTTTAAACCAACACGCTGATATTTCAAACACCAGATTATAAACTTTTGACAAGGTCATTATTAACACACGAAAATAAAATTGCTTTTATTACAAGCTTTTGTTCTGGGTACGTTTATTATTTCTTAAAATTAATCATTTATCCGCTTGAGTTTAATTATTATCAACTATTATCCTAATTTAAGACAAGGTCAGATAAGAAAAATTTTTTTAATTACCAAAAAAAATTTATTTCCTTTTTAAAATTAATCCGAAATTAATTAATGAGAAACTTTCTGACTAATTTGTCAAAATAAATCTAAATTAATTCTCAGTTAAAAGATAATCGTATAATACCCTGGGATTTAAACTGTCTCGAAGATATTTATTTGACAAATAAATTAATAGCAATTTACTTGAGTTCCCCAAAAAGAAATAATGAGAGTTATTTATAATTATTTGTTGTATTTATGCAACGGAAAAAAACTATTTCAAAAATTTGACGTCGCTAAAAATAAATTCTATTATTACGTATTTTTAAATGTTTTACTCACCAAAAAAGTCGAATGCTCTGAATCTGGAGTATAAACAAAATGTTTTGTCGATAACCTTTAATTTAATTGTCAAAATTATTTTAAATTATCAAGTAATTTTTTTTTTTCAATAAACTAAATAAATTAATGAATCCTTACGCGATGTGCAATATGTACAATTTGTATCCTTGTGGTTGTGTTAGACAAAATAATAATAATAATAACTATCCTGTGAAGAATTTTCCTTATGAGTGGAGTCGTATGGGCCCGATGGGAGGACTAGCAGAACCGAAATTAATTTACGTACCGCCGCATCCTGGAGCGGATATTGAAGTCGAGACAAATATTAGAACTAAAATTTCACAGAAGCCCGTAATTATTTTATTTTTTAATTATAATTATTAATTATATTAAAGTTTGACAATTTTTTATTTTTTTAATCAATAAAATTTTTTTTCAATAAATTTTTTTTTAATCAATAAAAAAGTATTTTTATAAAATTGCACTCAATATTTTTTAATTTTTCTACGTCAATTTTTTTTAACTAAAAAAATTATAAAAACTTCCCGATGTCGGCTTATTAATTTTTCATTAAATAATACTATCTTACCTTGTTTGTGATTTCTTCTTTCTTTTACTAGAAAAAAAAAATGTAAAAGTTACATTATATTAATGTAATTTATTAATTACATTAATGTAAACGTGGCGCTCCATATAGAAAACTTGGAAAATAAATTTCAGATTGTAATTATTACAGATTTTATAAGAATTACATTGTAGAGTGTAATATTTACATTTTAATGTAATAATTGCAATCTGAAACGGTAATTTTTCTAGTTTTCCATATAGAGCGTCACATTTACATTAATATAATGTAATTTTTCTTTTTTCCGTGTAAACATTTCAGCTAATTTGAATTAAAATTTTTTTTCTTGTAATTAAAATAAAATTAATTTATATAAATTTAATATTTTAGAATGGATTAACCAACATGCAATTTCCAATGGCACCACCAGATTTACTGCGCCGTATAAATGAAGAACGACTGCGTACGACCTATCAATCTTCTTTTTGTAATTCAAGTAAGTAAAATCGCTGATTTGAAAGAAGAAAAAAATTAAATTGATTTATTAATATGAAAATTAATAATTTAATTTAATAAATTAATAATTATAAATTTTTAATTAATAATTAAAAATTTTAAATTAATAAAAAAATTATTTAAAAAAAATTCATTTGTAAAAAACTATAAGTGCAAATTTTTAAAAATATTTTTTAATTTAATTCTAATTTAATAATTAAAAAAAAAAAAAAAAAAAAAATTGACTAACTTTAGTATTATTTTATTAATTAATAATTCCATGTCTAGATAATTACTCAATGGTAACTGACTACAGCAATTGGGTGTATAATTACAACAACAAAGCGAGATTAGCTAACATGCAAAGACAAGAGTCGGAAGAAGTCGAGTGTCGACCACAGCCGAAGCCGCCTTACCTAGGCGGGCATGAAATCCCTGGAAGAAAACGCAACGATTTGAGTCTAGCAGTTCCGGCGAAGAAATTAAACGGCAGAAAGGTTTCCAGCCGACTTTCCCGCGCGTCTAGAGAGCAGAAGCAGAAAAGTGATAGATTAGACAGCTCGCAGAAGCCGAAAGTTTAATTAATAAAAATTATTTAAAAAAATTCATTGATAAAAAACTATAAGTGCAAATTTTTAAAAATATTTTTTAATTTAATTCTAATTTAATAATTAAAAAAAAAAAAAAAAAAAAAATTGACTAACTTTAGTATTATTTTATTAATTAATAATTCCATGTCTAGATAATTACTCAATGGTAACTGACTACAGCAATTGGGTGTATAATTACAACAACAAAGCGAGATTAGCTAACATGCAAAGACAAGAGTCGGAAGAAGTCGAGTGTCGACCACAGCCGAAGCCGCCTTACCTAGGCGGGCATGAAATCCCTGGAAGAAAACGCAACGATTTGAGTCTAGCAGTTCCGGCGAAGAAATTAAACGGCAGAAAGGTTTCCAGCCGACTTTCCCGCGCGTCTAGAGAGCAGAAGCAGAAAAGTGATAGATTAGACAGCTCGCAGAAGCCGAAAGTCGATAAGAAACTCGAGGGTAGTAAAAAAAAAAATGAAGAGATGGAAACCGCATCTAGTAATCTTGATGATTCTTTGAAAAATTCTGGGAATAACTTGGAAGAAGATTTTCATAACAACAACAACAAAGAAGATGATATTGATGAAGCTTATGGCACACGAGGCAATTTTGAGCAGTCTGATGATGATCAGAAAAATAAAAAAGAAGGCAATAGCGAGAGTAGTGACAGTTTTAACAGCGCTGATAGTTGTGAAAGTAAAGGAAGGAAGAGAAAGGATAAAAATAATGATGAGACTTATGTGTATTTAAACTATACAAACAGACGAAGGAAGTATACGGTTGATTTAAACAATGAGCACTTTGATGTTGATTTTCTTCCTTGGCTAAGCGAATATCAAGACACGATTGGTGAAACTGGAGACGAAATTTTGAAGACAAAGTTACATTATTATGGAAAATTGCGGCTTTTGCCTGACTATGTAGCCTATAAGAAGAAACAGGCAGACAAAAAAAAGGACAAAGATAAAAAAAATGTTAAATAAAATTAGCGATGCTTATTCCGGTCTCGATAAGTCCAGCTATTTGCAATCTTATCTAGAAGTATGATAAAATTTTATCACCACTATAAATTGATATTGCCTTTTGGTTAATAGCATTTTATAATTCAGAGGCGTTATTGTTTGCTGTAGTGCATATATGTTGCCTTATTCTGTAGCTTTACTTCTGTGCCAGTTCCAGTTCAAGCGCATTTAAATTAAGATGTAAGTACTGTAAATTTAGTCGCAAGTTTTTAAGGATGGCGGTTAGAATAATAACTAGTGAAGAAACAGTACGTGTTAATTATTGGTGGGAATTGGAAGCTTGTGAAGAAATAAAGTCTTCGGTTTTTGAAGTTACTGACAATGAAACGCGGGAAAGTAAGTGGAAGTTTTCATTGAGGTCGGAAGAAGATAAACTGTTAATTGACTTGAATTTTTCTTCGGATACTGCAAGTGTCATTCAGTACAGCTTTTATGTTTGTGAAGGTGAGAAGAAGAAAGGAGAAAAATTTAGCGCACACAGAGGATGGGGCTCGGGTGATTTGATAAAAAGACAATGTTTGCTTGTCAAGAATAATTTTAGGGACAAACTAAGAATATTTTGCGAGATTATTTGTAAATTTAACGTCGGAAAAGATGAACCTGACATTCCCGAGTGTCAGCTGATTGATGAATTGAATATATTATTCGATTTAAAAAGTAGCGAAGAGAAAAGTCCGCTAATGGAATTGAACTGGGGAAAACTCTTCCTGGAATACGTTGGAAATAATAATGAAGATATGAATTCTGGAGATTCTTCTTGTATTGGAGAAGAAGTTCTTGATTCATCTAATCTCGAATCAACTTTGAGAGAGTGCGAAGATTCTATTTGTACACAAATTAATATTGACAACGTGCTTAAAATATTTACTTTCGCAGAAGCTAAAGGATTGGCAGCTTTGGAAGTATATACTGTTGGTTTTATCGAAAATAATATTGATCACATTCTTGAAGTGTCTTCGCTTGAAGATCTTGAAGATGATAATCCAAAGTTGGCTGCTACTTTGCTGAAAGTCGCTTTGAATAAAATTAATGAGTGTCAAAGAAGATTGCATTCACTGAAAAGTTTTCTTTATCTTCAGTAACTTAGTTTATTATTTAGTCGGCAAAAATTTTGCTTAAAAATTAAAGTGTATTTTTTTAATAAATTGAAATTTTATATTTACATGCAATTATAATGAATTGTACTTTTAATTATCTAGAAGACTTATTTATTTAATTTCAAAGCTGTTAAGCGGATCATGAAATTTTATGGACTTATTTTTTATCAAAGTATAATTATTAAACTAATTTATTATTCATGCTTTTTAATCTAGTAAAAAATTCATTCATTATTCAGTAAGTATATATTTTTTAATTATATTACCTTTTTTTTTATTTCAGATTTTTATAAAAATTATTTTAAATAACTTTTTTTTTTTAATTTTCACAAGTAAACTTCTTTCATAATAATTTAATTGTTAAAAAAAATTTTTAATGTCTGTCAACTTCAGTTTGATAATATAATACTGAAGTTAGCTAACAGCTGTCAATTTTTAAAATTTTTATAACAAACGTTACAATAAAAAAATGATTTAAAAAATTTCCACTTGGAATTTTTTTTAATTTTCACTTATAAAATTTTATTATTAAATTTCTATCATAATAATTTTATTAAATATATCTCAGCTAACTTTAGTGTCTCTTAAATTTGTGCAATTATTGTAAAAATTTATATATATAACCACTAAAGTTAGCCGACATTTTTAATTTTTTAATTATTAAATTAGAACTAAAAAATATTTTTAAAAAATTGACAGATATTATAAATTTTTTTAGAAAATTATATCAATTAAATTATTATAAAACAATTTTATTAAAAAGTTCCACATGTGAAAATTAATATAAATTACAAGTGATAATTTTTGCAAGCATCTTTTTATGAAAATTAAGTTAGCTGACATTTAAAAATTTTTATAATTTTTTTTTATTGAAAAAAATTATTACAAACAATTAAAAAAAAAAAAATTGACATCTAGAAAATTTGAAAAACTGTAAGTGCAATTTTAAAAAAACATTTTTTAGTTCTAATTTAATAAATGAAGCAAAATTAAAAAATTAAAAATGTCAGCTAACTTTATTATTATATTTTTTTTTTTGTAACTAATTATTAAACAAATTTTTAATAATTGACGACTGACGGCTAACTTCAGTATTATTATTAAATTTTCATAAACTATATATATATATTTATTTTTATACACATCAATAGATAAAGTAGAAATCAAAGTAACCTCAGAAAAAAATGGAGCCTCAACGGAACATTCTCCACATGTGCATTGTTATTCTGATAATATTATTCAATATATGATATTTTTGTGCGTTCCTCTGGATATTTTCGAACCGGCTAAATATATTTTGACAGTTGACAACAAAATCTAAAAAAAACCAGGTAAGATCATTAAAATTTTTTTTCTTAAATTATTTACCAGTTATTTTTTTCTGTATTCGACCTCGTGGTTCTAGACATAAAAATGAGATTGAAAGTTAAATTAATAAACATCTGCATCCGTCATAAATGTTCAAAGCCGTCAATAAATGGACTTACTAAGCTGCAACCAAAATTTTCACTCCGTAAAATCAAAGTTAAAAAAAGTGCCAAGCCGATCAATACAGAGCTAACCTCACCAGCTTCCCGAGATTTAAACATAAAAGCAATTATTCACCCAGAAGATGAGTATCAACAATTTTGCGCCGGAAATTTTAATAATAAAAAAAATAAAGATAAAATAATTGACAGTCGACAATTAAAAGATAAAAAATCAGCGTCAGCTGATAATTCAGAAAATCAAAGGAATAATTGTGAGGAACGTTTTAACGAGCTGAACATGCAAATGCTGCCTAGAAAATTGCATAGTCAAGTATTTAAAAAAGCAAACAATGTTGAATTATCCAGAGAAAAATTAAGCGAGTTGCGAAAACAATTAAAAGCCTTCGGTATGAAAATTAATGACACTTCTAGGATTCCCAGTGCTGATATAGATCTTCCCCCGCTGGAAGGGGAAGATTTGGAAGAACATTTTTATAAAATAGCGGAAACTCAAGCTAGGCCTTATTTTAAAATCGTCGAAGAGATGCTGAGAAAAATTCCTGAGATGCCGACTAGCTGGAAGCTTCAGGAAGGATGGACTAGGTATTTATGATTTAAGATACTAAATCACTGTTTTATTATTATTTTATTTTTTAATTAAACAAAGGTTAATCTTAATTCAAATAATTATTTATTTAAACGTTTCGTCAGTGGTCTTTTTTCATCAACAAAACTGTAAAAATGTACAAATATCATTAAAATATTAAGTATTGCAAAAATTACCTTAATAAAATTCTTGGTAAATTATTACAAGGTAAATGACAAATATTTACTAAAATCTCAGCTGTGATAATTTTGAATAAAGATATTGTAAATTTAAATGCATTATTTTTAACTGTTTTATTCTTAATGATAATTGACAAAATGTTTAATTAAGTAATAGTTTATTTTTAGTTAAAATTTTTATTTATTAAATTTATATATATTACTTAAATTAAATATTAACTTTTAAAAAGACATTTTTATTTCAATAAAATATTTACATTAATTATTTGCAAAAATAAAAAATTTTTTACTTTATTAAATTATTTTTTAAAAGTATCTATTTTAATACAATAAATTAATTATTTTAAAGTCATAGAATTTTATATTTTTTCAATAATATTTTAAAAAGACATTTTTATTTTTTTTTTTTTCAATAAATTTACATAACTGTTATTTGCAAAAAATAAAAAATCTTTTATTTTATTAAATTATTTTTCAAAACTATCAATTTTAATACAATAAATTAATTACTTTAAAGTTATAGAATTTTATTTTTTTTTTCAATAATATTTTAAAAAGACATTTTTATTTTATTTCAATAAATTTACATTACTGTTATTTTCAAAAATAAAAAATTTATTATTTTATTTTTCAAAGCTATCAATTCTAATACAATAAATTAATTATTTTAAAGTAATAAAATTTTTATTTTTTTTTCAATAATATTCAAAAAAGACATTTTTATTTCAATAAATTTACATTACTGTTATTTGCAAAAATAAAAAATGTATTATTTTATTTTTCAAAGCTATCAATTCTAATCCAATAAATAAGTTATTTAAAATTTTATTTTTTTTTTTAATATTTTCCAAGCAAATAAAAAACCCCATAAAATAAAAATAGATTTTTATTATTTTCAGATACACCACCGACAAAGTAGAAAAAGTGGACTACCCATTAGAACCAGGAATAATATTCGACGTGGAGGTGTGCATGAAGGAAGGTCCACTACCAACCCTAGCAACCGCAGTAACCTCCGAAGCGTGGTACGGCTGGGTATCAAAACCCCTAGTGGACGGTACCAGCCTCCCCATAGAAAGTCGCTCGTTTACTTTAGACATGTTGGTCCCCCTCGAAAGCACCAGCCTCGAATTCGGCAAGAAGCTGACAGATCACCAAAAAAAACCAAAAATAATAGTAGGCCACAACGTGTGCTACGACAGAGCAAGAATAAAAGAGCAGTACTGGCTGAACCCGACTAGCACTCGCTTCATAGACACCATGTCCTTGCACATAGCGATCAGCGGGATGAACAGCTATCAAAGGGCCCTGATGCTGGCCAAGAAAGACTTGTTAGACCACGAAGAGCTCCAAGGAACCTCCTTGAACAACCTCGCCGACGTTTACAAGCTCTACTGCGGAAAAACTCATGAAAAATCCATGAGAGACTTGTTTGTTGAAGGCTCGCTGCTGGAAGTCAGAAAAGAGTTTGACAAATTGATGAATTATTGTGCTAGAGATGTCGTAGTAACTCACGAAATTTTGGAGAAATTATTTCCTATTTTTAAAGAAAGGTTCCCACATCCGGTGAGCTTCGCTGGAATGCTGGAGCTAGGGACTGCTTACCTTCCAGTGAATACAAACTGGACAAGGTATATTGAAGAGTCAGAGGTTGCTTTTGAAGACTTAAATTACGAAGCTAAGGTCAGTTTGGCCAAAAGAGCTGATGAAGTTTGTAAATTGATGCACGGAGATAAATATAAGGAAGATTTGTGGATGTGGGACCAAGATTGGAGCACTCAGGCTGTTAAAATTAAGAAAAAACCCTCGAAAATAATTTCTAGTCCGGGAATAATTGGTGAAGAAAAAGAAATTTCAGATGAAGAAAAATATTTGACGGATGGAGAGGAAGAAATTGATGAATTGGAAAAAGAATTTGGTTATTTAAAGGAGAGTAAAAATTTATTACCCGCTAAACTTCCACACATGCCGGGGTACCCTGCGTGGTACCGTAAATTATGCATGAAGCCCAATGAAGAAAACTGGACTTTTGGCCCAAAGAATATCAGCACCTCAATGAAAATAACTCCTAAGCTTCTGAGTCTCACTTGGGAAAATTACCCGCTGCATTATATTAAAGAACACGGCTGGGGTTTTTTGGTTCCGTTTAATAGCGAGGATGTGGAGACTCAGCTGCCGCTCAAGCAGCTTCTAGCGCAGTGTCCGCTCCCGATAAAGCATCAACAAAGCTCGGATACGAGCTACGCAATGGCTACTTTGCAAGCTGAAGTTCAGAAAGATTTGCACAAGACTGAATTTTGGAGAAATCGTAAAACTAAATCGGATGTAAAAAAATCCATGCCTGGGATATTTTACAAGGGAGCTGGAATTTGGTGCGACGTTATAATTGACAATTGTTGTTGGTTTTTTAAACTCCCTCACAAAGACGGCCCGAAATTGAACGTCGGAAATCCGCTGGCAAAAGATTTTTTAAACAAATTTTCAGAAAATGTTCTGGCGGGTTTGGACTCGAGTGCTAGAGAGGTCTTGAAGATATCAAAGATGGTATCTTATTGGCGGAATAATAGAGACAGGATAATGTCCCAGTTGGTGGTTTGGTTGAGTGACAGCGACTTGCCGGGTATAATCCGTCGGACAGGCAGCAGTAGTGCTTTGTCTCGCCAAAATTACGGCGCGATAATTCCTCAGGTGGTGGTAAGTGGAACGTTGACTAGGAGAGCGACAGAGGCCACGTGGATGACAGCTTCAAATGCTCATGAAGACAGAGTGGGCTCTGAATTGCGAGCTATGGTACAAGCGCCGCCGGGGTATAGTATTGTGGGAGCGGATGTCGACAGCCAGGAACTGTGGATCGCTTCGCTGATCGGAGATGCATATTGCGCGGGAATTCACGGCGCTACTCCCTTCGGGTGGATGACTTTGATCGGCAACAAGTCTGACGGGACCGACATGCACAGTGTAACTGCAAAAGCCGTGGGAATTTCGCGGGATCACGCCAAAGTTATAAATTACGCGAGGATTTACGGAGCGGGTCAGAAATTCGCGGAGAGACTGTTGAAGCAATTCAATCCTGCGATGAGCGATGGAGAAGCGTTGGGAAAATCCAGGAAGATGTTTAGTATCACTAAAGGGAAAAAAGTTTTTAAGTTGAGGGAGGAGTTTGTCAATGAAGAGTTGCAAGATGAGGACTACTCCGGCTTTGACGCTTCTAGAGTCGCTAAATTGCACGGAAAGACAGTCCAGGCGATGTTTGAAAGCAAGTGGGAGGGCGGCTCGGAGTCCGCTATGTTCAACAGGCTCGAAGAAATAGCCGGGAGCAAGCACCCGGTGACTCCCTTTTTAAATTCAAGGTTGAGCAGGGCTCTAGAGGTTGAGGATGAGTTAAAGGATAAATATTTACCGACTAAGATAAATTGGGTGGTCCAAAGCGGAGCTGTGGACTTTTTGCACTTGATGCTGGTCTGCATGCGCTGGCTGATGAGAGACAATGCCAGATTCTGCTTGTCCTTTCATGATGAGATAAGGTACTTGGTCCCGGGCAGGTATAAGTACAACGCTGCCCTGGCAATGCATGTTACTAATTTGCTCACCAGGTCCTTCTGCGCCTCCAGGCTGGGGATTCAAGATCTTCCGGCCTCGGTTGCATTCTTTGCTGCGGTTGAGGTTGATACTGTGCTCAGGAAGGAAGCTAGCAGTGATTGCAAGACTCCCTCGAATCCTTACGGGCTCGAGAGCAGGTATGGGGTTGCCAAAGGGGAGAGTCTCGATGTCTGGAAGGCTGTTGATAAGGCTGAGGGGTCCCTCGGGCCTTGGCACAATGCTTTGATCAGGAAAAACAAAGTTGATAATCAGCTGGGTTAATTTACTGGCGGGTTTGAGTTTTTTGGTGGGAGGTAGGTGTTTTAGTGGTGGGATACTTTTATTTGGAGTAATGATAGAGTTTTGGGGGGTGGAAATTAAATAATTAATTTAAGGGGGGATTATGGTCTACAAGCTTTAATTTAAAGGAATTTTTTTTTGGTAAAAAAAGGGAATCTATATTTTTATTAGTCATTTTTTTTTTATAAAATATTTTAAGAATACAGAACAAAAGTAAATATTCATAAGTGAGGTCAACCATTTTAATTTTCATTTTATTAAACGAAATTTCTGTTTGATTTTATTGATGTTTTTTTAAATACATAAAAAAATGAACAATTAAAAAAAAATTGATTAACACATTTTTAAAAAAATTTATAAATTTTTTTAATAACATATTTATTATTGCAAAAATATAGAAAAAAAAAATTCAAAAATTTTTCACAAAAAACTGCTTAAAAAAATCAATTTTTTTAAATTTCTAAACCAAATTTTTTTGGATAAACATAAAAAAAATTTAATTGAATCAAGTAAATAAATTCTTTCTATTGTATGAAAATAAAATTTTTAAAAATTGAATTTTACAGATAAAAATGTCAAAAATAACAAAACGTAAACACGTAACAAAGCTTCAAGAGAATCTGAGTATTCCCTTGGAGTCGCAATCTATAGTACGACTTGTCGAGCCGCGGGGTAATAATCTTCATGAAGTGAGTGACAGTACAGGCGAACAATTTCTCGTTTCAATGCCGAGTATCTTTCGAAACAATGTTTATGTAAAGCGGGGTGACTTTCTTCTCGTAGAGCCGATACCCGAGGGTGACAAAGTCAAGGCTGAAATCATTAAAGTTCTCACAGAGGTAGACACTAAATTTTTTATTTTATTTATTTTACTATCATATTTTTATCTTATGTTATTTTTTATTGCATAAATAATCACTATTTAATATTTTATGGTTTGTAGAAGCACATTAAGTTCTACCGAGCGCAAAACGTGTGGCCAAAGGAGTTCGATAAGGAGGAACCGCAAAATAAAGCACCTGTAAATAAACCCAGTGATCAAGATGATGATCTTTTTATAAACACAAATCGTTGCAATCAGTTCAGTAATGTTGACAGTGATAGTTCGAGTGATACTGATTCAGATTAATTTTTAATTATAAAAATTCAATATTTAATGTAAAAAGAAATTTCAATGAAAAATAAATAAATCAACTGTTCATTTTTTTTATAAATAAATTTTTACTTAAATTAAAAATTACCTCAACTTTTATTTATATTATTAAGAGAATAAGCAAAATTTTGTGGCCAGTGTATTTATATGATAAAATAGGTTTTCATGGCTAAATTTGATATCATTAGAAAGGTCATAATTAAGAAATGACCTTGTATCTCGTGAATTATTGACATTTTTAAAGATATAAGCTCATCCTGATGTTACACTCATCAAGACCTTTCATTTGAGTACCCACATCAATTTTTCATATATTTTATATATTTATATATATGTATATATGAAAAATATATCAAAAATGCATGTCGGTACTCAAATGAAAGCTCTTGATAAATGTAACATCGGGATGAGCTTATATTTCTAAAAACTTCAATAGTTAAAAAAGTACAGTGCAATTTAACATAATTAAGAAATGACCTTGTATCTCGTGAACTATTGACATTTTTAAGGATATAAACTCATCCCGTTGTTAATCTAATCAAGACCTTTCATTTGAGTACCCACATGCATTTTTCATATATTT